TGCTGATGCTCAGAGCCCTCGGCTTACCTTGCTGTGCAGAGCCTTCAAGAAGCGGCTTGGAAAAACAACTGTACTGTACGTGAATGAGGCAAGGGCTGGGGGCCATAGGCGCATGCGTGACTCTTTCGCAAGGCCTGGGGGCCATATGCGCATGCGTGAACCTTTTGTCTTAAAAGTTTCTAGAACGTTAAGCCCATTACAGAAAAGAAAATAATAAGGAAACATAACAGAGGTTGGACCCGGCCAAAGGAATAAAACCGCGAAACACACACGTACGGAGAAGTTGAACTGTTTCTTTTTCTTCTTCTGGAATACAAACCATGAAAACTAAGAAGAAACCGGATAGATTATGTTTTGAGAAAAATACTAACCACCGTGACGGCTGGTGGGCAGAGTTCTCATTTTGCTGTTTGCTGCCTCTCGTGAGGGACAAAAGCATATTCCTGGTAGAAGGTGGAGGCGCGTGGCCTCGGGGTCACGTTCTCTGTGGGTGCGTCTTTGTTGCATGAAATCACGAGGGTCCGTGGTCGATTTCAGAGGATTTGTGAGCAGGGATAGGAAAGAGAATTACATCTTTGCTTTTCCTGTAATTATGCACGTTGGCATCAGCCACAGCTGTCTTCGTGGCTTCCATGACTGTCTCAAGATTAGAGGTCACTGATTTTTTTTCATACGGCATGACAGTGGTAGTCAGTGTCTCAAAATATCATTTACACTCACTACTACTTCAAAATTACAGGGGATAGCCAACCCAGAGGCAGATCTTGTTATGTAATGCGTTGCCAAGGAACACACATATTGCTATATTCCATGTTTGCACCTATTTCTGTATTTTGAATGATCCTTGAGTTTGTCTCCTTGGTAATCTCATGTGTTTTACAGTTAATTATGCATCGACAGATATCACTTAAAAGGTTCAGAGTCTCCTCCAGATACCTCCTAGCAGAAGGCCAGAGGCTTGGTGCCAGGAGTTGGCAGGCCAGCATCTGCCCCGGCAGAAGTTCTGGCTCGCCACGGGCTATTAACCCTTCTTTAGGGAGAGTTTCTGGTACAAACCTTCTTCCGACTCAACTTCCGTATCTGTTCTTCTTTTGGCTCTCACCGTGTGTAGCCATTTTCAGACCAATCCAAATTAAAAACCGTTTCCTTGCTCAAAGATACAGGGTAAATAACTGTAGGGGAAAAAAAAAAAAAAAAAACCACGTTGCTACAGTTGTTTTGGGAGCAGCCCAGCCTCCAACATTAAAACCAGGTTCCTGCTTTCCTCAACATTTGCATACCAGAGAACCAAGAAAAGTTAAAAATACAGTCCATTTTCAGTTCTGCGGCTCTGGAGATTCCCCACACCATCACCATAGTGTCTTTCATGTCTTGTCTTCAGAATGCTGGTATTGTAAGGCTCAAAGCTGTCCATGGAAATATGAACTACCAAAAAAATTTGGCCTCGGGAGCTGGCATTTGTTGCAAAAGTTATTGGCAAATATCGCCGTCTCCTCTTTTAGCCAATGGTAATGTGATGTTTTTAATTCAATAAAGTGTTTCAAGAAAGTCCAAACCTAAAAGTTATAAACATCGGGTAGTAAATATTTATTAGAAAGGGGAAACGAACTTTACGCAATTAGTCCAGTCCATCTTTTTTATGATTACAAGTTCCTCCTGTGTCTGTCAGCAGTCACTGCAAAGCAAAGTCACGATTTCACAGGACTTTAAGGCTATTGAAGCTCAGATACTCTGCCAGGTGACACAGAGGGTGGGAGGCCAGAAGTAGGTCTGACTTGTCAGCCGAAAGGAAGAGTCTGCCGTCCTAGGGGAGACAGAGCAAGAAGAGGGGACTCAGGCAGCCCTGACGATGATCATGGCGTCGCAAAGCCCTCGCCCCTTCTCGTGGCAAAAGCAATACTTCTCTGTCCCCTCCCCCATGACCTCGGTTCCCCGAGGTCCTCAGTTGAAAGGTGCTGTGTGAGGACCGCTCATCCTTTTACTCTCACGGCTCCTCATGGCGCGTTCCACCGTCTCCGTTTCTCAGCCCAGTGTGATGTCACTGCCCCACGAGGAGAGGAAGGCAGCGACGGGAGGTGACACGCACCCGCCCCGGCCGCACCCGTGGGCGAGCACAAGTGTGCTCCATGCCATGGCATCCGCAATGGACTGAGCTGTGCATTGGATGCTGTTTTTTAAAAAGTGTTAAGTCCGGATGCTGGAAGCCAGTTGCTTTGGGGAGGGAGGCGAGAACGTCTAGACTGCGGGTAGGCACTCAAGGTCTTGCGCGTCACGTTTCCTCCTTTGCTGGTTTCCCTTGAACGCTGCCGGCCTCTCAGCAGAGCGTGGAGGTGCCGTCAGCTAGCACAGCGGTCGAGAAGATGGGCTCTCGACTCAGCCTGCCCAGGGCACGCCCTGCCTCTACTTCTCGAGCATGTTACATAGTCTCTCTGTGCCTCGGTCTCCTAATCTGCACAATGAGCGAAATCATTGTACTTATACATCAGGGGGTTGTCACGAGGGTTAAGTCACAAATGAATCAAGCCCTCGGCACCAAGGGCTAGTTGGCTAGTGTCCTTTTCTTACTACCTCATTTCTTGGAGCTAGTGGGAGAGGAGGCACTGTTTAGCCGACTGTCCCCTTGGTGGGTCCTTCTCTCTGTGTCTTTCCCCGTGCTGCCCTCGCATTCCTCCTGGTTCTCTGGGTGTCTGTAACCCCTGGGAATTGCTCTCCAGCCTCCAGTCCGTAGGCTGGAAACCCTTTTGCTGTCCTTTCTTAAGTCCCACGGCAAGTCCCATGGGCATCTTGATGGATAGAGGCCCCTGCGGTGTCCGGGACGCTTAGGGAGTCCGGATTCCACCTTGAACAACAGTGTTCTTTGATGTTAGTTGTTTCTAAACCTGGCGGGCCATTGGGACCTGCTCCAGAGAATGTCAGAAGTTTTCATGCCCGACTTTAGATCGGCTGTGTTAGTCTCTGGGGAGTGGGTTTCAGGTGTGTCTTTCTATACAGCTTCCCTGGGAGGCTCAGCTCGGCCCGGCCCAGCGCAGCTCGGTTGGGGAACTGCAGATATGAATGGAACCTGTCCCTTTAACGCCCGGGCACCTGGCCGGAAGCGGAAGCGGAAGCGGGGCCTGGCCCCGCCCCCTCGGGCAGACACTCGCTGCGGTACGATGCCGGGCGGGCGCCAGGCGCGGAGCCGTCCCGCCTGCCACAGCCTCAGCTTCCTGCCCGGCAGCTGCAGCCTCCCTCGGAGCTGTTGGCCGTTGGCAGCAGACGGCCCCAGTTTTCCAGAACATTTCCAGGAGACTGCGCCCTCCGCTCTCCAGCTTTCTGCCAGTTGTGCCCTGTCCTTCATTTCTTGTCCCCACCCCTTGTCAACTGGATGTCTGGGTATCCCGGCCCCGCCTCACCGAGCGGGACCCACCTCGGGTCTCCCCAGCCAGGTAACAGCCTCTGCAACCTCCAGGAACACGGAAGGAGTGACCAATCCTAGAACCTTCCAGAAGCGGGGCCGGCATGCCGGCCTGCGGAAAGGCTTCAAAGCACAGTAGCACGTGTGGGAAATTTGGATGAGTCACTTTTCCGTCCAGCTCTTCGCATTTTATTTTATCTCCCCATCGGCTCGCATTATCAGCAACACCTTCCTGAGGGTTTTCACGTAACCGGCCCCTTCAGCATCGTGTCGAATCAGAGCTGCTCTCCACACACGCGCCGTGGCCGGTGAGGAAGCGGATCGAAATCCCCTTCAGAGTCCGTACAAGGGACGCCGCCAGCCGAAGACAAGCAGCTGAACCCCGACCGCGTGGCCAGAAGTGGCTCCCGAGGAGCTCGCCCCTTTGCTGTGTTCGCAGCCCCCCCAGCGAAGGAAGCCGGGCGCTGACCTGCTTGTCAGGGGGCGCCCTGGGGACCTCAGCGGCACAACGCGCTTGACGTGACGTTTGCCTGAAGCCAGTGCGGTGACAAGCGCTGTCTGCCCTGGACCCACGGCGTCCCACTGCCCTTCAAGGCGTCTGCCTCAGCCCGGAGCCTTTGGCCTCCACACACATTTGCCTCCTCGGTTGGAAAAATGGAAAAAAATAGAAAAAGCCGCATCCTCCCTGCCTCCTGCATACGCGTATGTGAGAGCTCCTTTGTGTGTCTTCCGTATCTGTCATTTCCTCTTAATTTTTTGGAATAACTTGTGCATTTCTATTATATTTTTCTCAGTCACCAACTCCGTGCCCCTGCCTGTGTTCAGTGGTGTGTCTCTTCTCTGTCACGCTGCGTTCAGTGTGGTCTTCGTTAGTTACCTGATTTTATTTTCTCAGACATTTCTCAACCAAGTTCTGATACTTCAAATGTTACCTCCTTTGACCTGCCCATGTTTTCCCATAGTTCTTGTGTATTTGCAAATACAAAAAAAAAAGACAGTTACTATTTTTTTTTTTAAGAATTCATGCACATATGCTGGCACAATGTTTTTAGCGACCCATGACCATATCTTCTGGTGATGATTCTTCACCTACTTTATCCCCCCTGTTTCTTCCATCTTAGTAGAGATTCTGTGCTGATTCTTCCCCACTGTTGTTCACCTCTGAGTTATTCTTCGACCAATTATTTATAGGATCTTTATGTTGGAGAGAGCCTGGGATGTTTCCAGGCTGGCACAGATCCTCCTCAGGGAGGTGTGTGCATGTGTGTGTGCGTGCGTGTGTGCGTGTGTCTCAACCTACAGAAATTCCTCACCACACACGGTCTCTTTCCTGCTGTGAGATACGACTTCCTACACATACGGTTTATCATCGTAATTTCCTTGTGCAGCTCTGAAGTGTCTGTTCTACCTCATGACAAGTGGGTCTAGAATCTCCCATAACAAATCTAAGCATGCGTTTCTTTTTTTCTTTTCTGTTCTGTTCTTTGCCATTCCCCTGCTTCCTCCCTCCCTCCCTTCCCCTTTCTTTTCTTTATTTCTTTTTTCCTTCCTTCCTTCCTTCCTTCCTTCCTTCCTTCCTTCCTTCCTTCCTTCCTTCCTTTTTCTTTCTCTGCCTCTTCTCTCTTTCTTTAAAGAGTTTTATGGAAGTATAATGTGCATACAGAAAAGTGCACAAATCATAAGTTTAGACCTTGATTAGTTTTTATAAATTAAACACACCTGTGTAACCACCAAATGGGCCAAGAACCAGGATGTGAGCCTTGGTGAGTGACTTCCCAGCCCTGAGCTTCTGACTCAGTTCAGGGTCCTTCTGCAAACATCTGCCTCTTCATTGGAAAAGTGGAAAAGATAGAGAAAACTCCATCCTTCTTGCCTCTCACAGCTGTCGTGAGCCTCAGGATGACAGATATCAGAGCTCTTTGTCATTTGTAAAGCATGACACAGATGCCAGCTATCTGCCTAGAAAGCATCACAGTGACAGGTGTCCATGCAGTCCACCCTATTTGTCCCATTGTAAAACAGAAAAAGGCGATGTGTGGCTTGGGCGCGTAGCACGACGCCGGCGGCTGAGCTCGGGTCAGAGGCTGGAGCTCTAAAGTCACCTTTTCTGCTCATCCTCGTCTTTGCTTTTATGCGGAACAAGGTAACCACCATCTTGACTCCCACCTATAATTTTCCCTTGTTTTCGAAGGTCATGTAAAGAGGATCAGAATCGCATTGTTCGACTAGACCACAGTTTATCTGTTCTACTGTTGATGGGCGTTCGGGTGGTTTTCAGCTTTGGGACTCAAACATGCGATTGCTGTGAACGTTGACTGCCTTGGGTGGGCATATACACATTTCTGCTGGACATACAACTAGGAGAGGAATGGCCGAGGGTCACAATGTGCATGTCTTCAGCGAATACTGCCATGGAGTCTCCCAGAGTGGGTGCAGTGGATTAGAACGCCATCAGCTTGAGAGAGTTCTTAGCACGCCACATCCTTGCCAACGCTTGGTAGTCTCCATCTCTTTCCTTCTTTCTGGTGGGTATGTAGAAGTACCTCATGGTGATTTTCATTTGCCTTTCCTTGATGACTGGTGAAACTGAGCACTTGTTCTTATGTTTATGCCCATCTTATATGCTTCGATATTCTCTTTTGTGAAGTATCTCTTCTGGTCTTTTGTGCATTTTTCTACTGGTCTTTTTCTTAATTGATCTGTGAGATAGATGTGTGTGTGTATATATATATGTATATACACACACATCTTAGATACAAATTTTTTGTTGACTCTTCGTATTGCAAATATCTCTCCCATGTATTGCAAATATATTCTCTCTCTCACAATTATCCTTTTGAGAAACAGAGTCCTTCATTTTAACATAGTATACTTCATTAATTTTTCCCTTTATGGTTAGCATTTTCTGTGTTCTGTTTAAGAAATCTTGGCCCGGCCTCATTCTCCTTTGCTTTGATGATTGGGAAAGTTTTATGGGAGAGCGCTGTCTATAAAGTGCATAATAAAGAGTTTACGGCACCTTCTTCCTCTCTCTCCTGAAGGGCTAGTTATGTCCCCTGATCCCAAGCACTCCTACCCCATAAACTCACCTCCCGGGTCAGCCTTGTCTCTGGAGCATGTGTCCATACACTGACACCACACCCCCGAAGAGCTCTGGGGTCTGAGTGTGTGGAATCAAACATTTAACGAGGTGCAGTCAGTCTTTACGGGACCAGCTGTGCCGTGCTCGGGGCTCTCGTCTTTCCGCCATTCTGTTGAGGGGTGACCGGTAATGGGAACATAGGGCCTCTTCCGAACCCAAAGGCACAATATTCCACTTGCATCGTCAACTTTTTTCAGGGCACAGAGCAGCTCTGACATTCTTGGAACATGAGAAAGAGCTGTGGGCTTCGCGTAGCTCCCTGACAAAGCCCCTCCGGCCCTGCTGTCCTGCCCCTTCCCTGCAACGTGTAAGCGTTTTTTGAATTTAGACAGCACAGTTGCATGTCTCTTCTGTGCAGATGTTTGAGATTCCTTGGAACAGTGACCTCGAAACCGAGCACGGCACACACCCTTGGCGAGCCCGCCGTTACTGTCCTGAGCTGTGCACGGGGACCTTTGACCCACATCCTGCTCCAAGTGCCCCCACGGGTTCCCCAGCCAAGCCCTACAGGGTGACATCGCCCCACTCCAGTTCAGGCTTTTTTTTTTTTTTTTTTTTTCATTTTGCCTTGATAGAGTTTGGCATCATGGACATACTGCGTCTTTAAAAGAGCCTTAAGTACTTCTGGTCTCAATTTTCAGACCACGAGGCGAGGATTTGGGTGCAAGTAGTTTATCTGGGAAGTGATCCCAGGAAGCACTGTGAGGGGGCAGGGAAGTGGGGGGGCGGGAGTCAGAAGAGGTGCACAGATGGGCAGGCCAGCACGTGGGCGGGGGGCCCTCCCACTGGGGCTCACGGAGACACGTGTGGAACTTGCCTCGGAGCCGTTACACTCAGCGCCCGTCCCTCGTGGTCCAGCAGGGAGATTCAGGAGGACAAGGAGGACGCTGCTACGTCTGTTTCCGTCCATTTCACACCTTGTCTCATTCTGAGCATTTTGTCCACATCCAGGTTGCCTATTAATACATGGGAGTCGGTATTTTTTAATGCCTATTTCTGCTTTAGTGGAATTATTTTGATTGAGTGTTTGTGCATGTTAAATCCTCCGGGTGAAATACTGTAAGAAATTCCACACGGCTCAGCCGAGCTAGAAGATAGGCAACCACAGAGGGGACCGAAGTTTGTCCCTTTGGCCCCAGGGGGCACCCTGAGCTCTTTAGCACCCTTGGGGCCACCATTCTGGGTCTGTGTAACGGCCCCTCCGGCCTCAGCTCCAGAGCTGCTGCTTCCAGCAAATCACCGCGGAGGAGGCCTGGCTGGTGAGATGCTTCTCCTATGGGCACCTGCCTTGTCCCTTCTACCTTCCCACGTTAGGTGGAAGGCACCTGTTCACTAGCGGCTCCCGGCCTGTCCCTGCATCAGACACCTAGGCCCCGAACAGTGAACACCAGACCTGCCCAACTGACTGCTGGGGACACAGGCCTTCTCCGGAGAAACACACAGCATTTTGTTGAGCTAAATGAACCGGTTGAAATGATGCCCCTGTTTTTTTGTTCATTTGTTTGTTTTGACATCCAGATTCACGACCTTCCTTCTTTCCTTTTGATTTCACATTTTAAGTCTAAACCAGCCATCACCCTCCCCTTGTGACGCATGCGTGATATTCTGGGAAGTCATCTTCCTTCCCTTGTCCACAGCACCTGATGTGCGCTGGCCTGTGGTGCCTGGTGGAAGGAGACGCCTCCTGCAAGACCAAGCTGGACCCTCCCCTGGACGGCACCGAGTGTGGGGCTGACAAGGTAACCCCACCTCCCACCGCCCCCGCGGGCAGCCCCATGCCTCCATGGGCCCAGGCCGTGTCCCCTGGGAGGCCATCTGCACTGCACTCATGAGCCCCCGAAGCATCCCCTGGGCCACCCCAGAAATGCTCACGGAGCCCTCTCCAGGTATAGAGGGGTACCTAAATCACCTCTCTGCTTTTTTCTTATAAATTACAAGAATCATTCACTGAATGTTTTCGTTACGTTAGCTCCTTTTGTCATGAAAGTGGATCTTTTAGAAGGAAAAGCTTTACATCAGGAGACCATAAATGGAGAAACAGGATCGCTTGCCATACAACAAAGGTGACCGTAAAGTAGATTTATTGAGAACAGTGTCACCCAGTTCTGGCTAGAGGTTAAGAGAGCGAGCCAGCGGTTCTCCGCAGGAGAGACTGGTGAGATAGGTGTCCCCAGCCCCCGCCACAGCCCCAGACTTTCTCCTTAGTTTCGTCGCAATGACCGAAAGAGGTGCCGTGTCTGGGGACCACTGAATCACCCCAGAGTCTGTGCCACGCACATTAGGAAATGCTGTTTTATGGACGTGGTTCCATAGTGTAGCGGTCAGCACGTCTGCTTTACACGCAGAACGTCCTGGGTTCACGCCCAGTGGAGCCACGGTCCATGGTCTACGGCCACGCCACCCTGAACATGCCCAATATCTGATCTCGGAAGCTAAGCAGGGTCAGGCCTGGTTAGTACTTGGATGGGAGACCACCTAGGAAGACCAGGTGCTGTAAGCATAAATAATAATAATAATTAAAAAAAAAAAGGAAGTTCTGTTTTAGAGGGCTGGCTTTCTCCTACGCCCAGAAGGAGCCGAGGTTCAGCCACGTGGTGCTGCCGGCTGTGGCATCTCCAAGCACCAAACCCAACTCCGAAGTTCAAAACCACAGAGCCAGGAAATACTGCCTTCCAGAGTGAGACACGCTCGCATCCTGAGGCGTCTGCAGAAGCTCGGGCCTCTTCGCGAGCCATACGCATTGGTCCTTATTCTGGGAACTTAGAAAACCCCAGTGGAGCACATTCCCTAGGGAAGTTTAGGGCAAAATACTCATGCCCCAGACAGAGGGACACAGGTCGAGTGAGTCAGGAATGTCACTAGAGTTCGCGAGCACACGTACCCCGAAATAGTCTGCTTCCATGTGCGTGACAGCAGCGGGAGGCGGCGTGGCATGGAGCTTCGTTTCATTTTTTCACGTGGAAGGGACGGCTGTGTTTCAGTGGTGCCGCGCGGGAGAGTGTGTGAGCAAGACCCCCATCCCGGAGCACGTGGACGGGGACTGGAGCCCGTGGGGCGCCTGGAGCATGTGCAGCCGTACGTGTGGGACGGGAGCCCGCTTCCGGCAGAGGAAATGTGACAACCCCCCGTGAGTCCCCCCGACCGGGCCTTCCCCAGGGTGCCCTGGTCAGGCCTTCGGGCCTGCAGCTCTCACCGCCCGCAGCAAAGCGGGGACGGTCTCTGGAGGAGAATTCGAGCTTAAGGAGAGTCAAACCCCCGCGGGCCGGGGCGCAGGGGCGGCGTGCGTGTCCAACACGTCTCGGTCTAAACAGCGCTCTCTCCACGAATGTGGACACAGAGACGCTGCGATGAGCTGGCTCTCTGTTCCTTGCCCAGGCCTTAGTTGAAAGGTTTCCAGGGACAGCTGGATGACAGTCCCTCCTGGCCTGCTTCGCGGACTTCCTTAGTCGAGGGTCGTTCCAGGAAAGCCTGCAGGCCTTCGGCAGAGCGAGGCCAACCTTCAGACTGGCTGTCAGCTGACCTGGGAGCAGCCGGGCGGCTGATGAGTCAGCTGTCTTGTTCATCCACATATTTTTAAGTTGTCCTCTTAGAACTATTTGACTGAAAATAGTTGTTCAGGTTTGTTTTTTCTTTCCCCTCGTAGACTTTCTTTTAACGACTGACTGTCGTGACAGCCATGACCCTTCTTGTTCACCTTTGCACGTTGGTTCCGCCCAGAAAGCTCAGGACTAGATTTTGTGCTCAATTATAATTTCTTCACCGCAGAGCTTTTTTCTTCTCTTGAAGTTTCTCATTTTTAATATTTCTTTAAATGGTCTGTTTTATGGCTTGTGTGCAATCAGCTTGCGTCACATTAATTTTGAAAATGAGCCAGTTATATATAACGACTAAATAGAAATACTTTATGTTCATAATTACGTCATGTTGCTGTATAATTAGCAAATCCTCCTATTTAAAAATCCTGATGCCCAGGCTATATCCTAGCTCAAATAAATCACAAACTCTGGGGCGGGTACCCAGGAATCACATGCTTTAAGCCTCTCCAGGTGACCCTGATGTCAGCCAACTTCGAATTAAAGGAAAATTTACATTCACAATTTAGTCAATGCCAAAAACACCATTTCCCAACCCCCCCCCACTCCCCCACCGCCAGTAGTTCTGTAAGCATTGATACCACATATTTTGTCTCATTAAAATTTTTTCCTCCCGCAGAGTATTCAACACATAGGAGGCATTTAATCCTTTCGGAATGATTTCTTAATTAAAAGCGTAGATGGTGTGTCAGGATTCTCCACAGAAACGGAACCAGTAGGAGACAGACAGAGATGTTTATTACTAGAAACTGGCTCACATGATTATGGAACCCAGGAAGTCTCATGATGTGCAGTCTGCAGGCTGGAGGCCCAGGAAAGCCGATGGTCTAGTGCAGTCCAAGTGCAAAGGCCTGAGAACCAAGGCTTGGGGCAGAGGCGGGGTTGGAACAGACAAATTTCTCCTTCTGCCTTTCGTTCTATCCAGGCCCTCCATGGCTGGGATGAGGCCCCCACACACTGGGTGGTGGGGACATCCGCTTTACCAAGTCGACCAGTTGTAGGCACACCCAGAAAAAACGTGTAATCTGGGTACCCTGTGGCCAGTCAAGTTCACCCATAAAATTAACTATCACAGATGAGTAAATCATTAGAAATCCTTGAAACAGAAGCAAAATCTATTCCAAGCTTCCGGTGGCCGCCGGCACTCTTCGGCACCTTTGCCTTGTAGACCGGTCACTCCAATTTCTGCGTCCATCTTTGTAGGGTCGTCTTCCATGTGTCTTTGATCTTCTCAGGACACTTGTCGTTAGATTTAAGGCCCACCCTAATTCAGGGTAATCTCATCTTATAATTAAGAGTTCCCAACTTATATCTACCGAGACCCTTTTTCCAATTCAGGTCACGTTGGCAGCTTCCAAGGGGGCATATCTCGGGGTGAAAGGGTCGCCATTCAACCCGCTGTGACCTCGAAGCCTCCATTCTGTTCTCAGACAGGTGCTCCCCTCCCTCTCCCTAACTCATTTTTGGCCCTCATCAGGGCTCGAAGTGGATGTCCCCCCGCAGACCGGCCCCCTTCCTTGGCCACCTCGCATCGGGTGGGGTGCCTGCTTCACACTCTCTGCTTCTTTAGTAACATTCCAGGGGTAGTACAACTGTTCGTAATTACTCAAGTATTTGGTCACTCATTTTCCCTTTGCCCTCCCCACTGGCTTTTGAGCCCCAGGAAGGCCACACCCATTCGGGCACCCTTCTGCCTCGCGTGCCCCCAGCAGGGCAGGCCTCCTTGCCACGTGATGCCCCCCGTCACTGCCAGGAGGCATGCTTGCTGAGCATAAGCAACTCTTGGCGTTTCCAGCGCCACCGACACACGCACCTACCATCCCCTCTCCCCCCGCCCCGCCAAAACACGGGTTATTGCGAATTATTATGCCAGGAAGGTGGATCAGGCCGGCCCGATGCCTTGTGTCATCTTGCCCCACTGAGGCCCAAATGTGAGGAACAGCCGGGAGGTGGGGGCCAGACCCCCCTGCACCGGTGCCCACCCCGCCCCAGCGAGACTGGCTCACCGCTAGGGTGCTCCGTGCCTCCCGAGAACAAGCCCTAATGCATAACCCAGCCTGGTTTGCCCAGGGCGAGAGCCGCTAACTGTGTTTGCTCGTCTGCCCGGTCTTTCTCAGTAACAGTGCAGCTCTACTTCCTGTTCTGAACAGAAACGCCAGGCTCTTGTCCCCTTGTCGTTTCCTATAGCATTTCTCACCTTCACGGAACCACCCCAGGCGAATGGGGAGACGAGGCTGGCCTCGGGCGGAAGGTTCAGCCCGGGCCCCGGGTGCCTCCCGCGGAGAGGCAGGATGCAGACAGTGTTTTATGATGTCCAGGCAGCAGCTGTCAGCCTGCTTTTGCACAGTGACCTGATGTGGTGATTGTTACAAAACACAGCTGATCGAGGCCCCGGGCCAGGCTCTGACCAAAACAACATTCTCTCCCTGGCTCGCTCCTTAAATCACCAGGCTGGCGGCCTCGAGATTTCCCAAGGATGTGCAGATCTCACCGCTGCGCGCATCGGAGCTGGAATGCTCCCCCGGGCCTCTCCCCACCCCCTTCGCTTTATATTCCTGGCCCCTTTCCCGTCTTCTGCAGCTGGTTTATTCACTGTCCAAAAATACTGGCAAGAGAGTCCCCTCCCATCCCGTTTTTTCCTCTAGCCTCGGTCTTTACAGCTTTTGGAATTTTTCTTTCTTGCCAGCTGACATCAAGGCCTCAGGGATCTTCCGTGTTTTTAGTCCAGCTTCCTAGGCTCGTGCTTTCCTGCCGTAATTGGTGTCGCTGTTGGTGGGAGTTTCCACGAAAAGACTGCAAGGCCGGAAGTTCGTCTCCGATTCGAATGCGGGTCCCCATCAGAAGGCTAGAGCGGGGG